CGTGTCTAGATCTAAACTGCACAATTCTAAAGATTGGCTCTGAGCTTTGTTAACGGTAATTGCAAACGCCAATCGAATTGGGAATTTCAATCTCTTAAATTGAAATGGCATATCCGTTGGAATCATAGGAATGCGAGGAATGAGGACATCTTCACCTTTGAAAGGTCCTGTCAAGATTGTTGCTTCTACGACGCTGCTCATTAATTTTTTTACTGCAAGCCGCGTGCCGTTGCAAAGCTTTGGCTGGTTGATATTTCGCAACATGATAATTGGCACCCCGATTTTCAATTGCAGTACGTGCGATGGCATCCCTGGCAGATCGAGTGAATTCAAAAATTCTGTTGGATAATTAACCGCTTCATCTGCTTCCACAACAGTGTCGACGGACTTGTATGTGACTGCCTCGCTTTGAATGTTAGACTAAATAATATTGTTAAGTTCGTAGACGTCTTTGTTCTTGGCCGCAAGAATAGCTCATTCACTCAGCCAATCGTTAATTCTTATAATTGGTTTGAATATTGGGAAATACTTTTTCAACCAATTCTTCTTTTGACGTCACTAAATTGCAGAAGTTATGAGGCAACGAAATTCGTCCTGAGGTCAGATCAACCGGCACCTTTCCATTCCCAATTTCCAGCAATTGATGTGAGAATATCTCAGCTGATCGATCGTTTTGCAGCTGGACACGCATATTTGTAGTTAATTTTAACGTCTTTACGTGTCGCCACAAAGTAGAGTATTTCAGGCAAGCATTTATTTCGTCCGCTGGTGTCGATCGGGGAATTACAGGTAATGTTTGCCTGAAATCTCTGATGTTTCCACGCAAATCTTGCAATGATCAATCAAGAGCCTCGAGCGATTTTTTGTGCGCCATTGTGCATTCACCCCAAAGTATAAGTTTGCATTTCTGCAATACTTTTCCCATGCCGGATGCTTTGGAAATGTTGCACGTGGGAGTTTCAATGAATTGCATGTTCAATGGCAATTTCAAAGCGGAATGAGCAGTTAAATTGAGCGATAAATTAAACCTGACTCAAACATAAATGTAATAAGCAGGCCCGTCTCTATAGATTAGCTTTGCATACGATCTACTCACCTAAATCAGTTGTAACTGATCGCAAATTATCACCACATACGTTTTTACCGCTCACAAATTTGCATCTTTTATTTAAAGCGTTGAATCAACCTCCCCAGATCAGTTAATTTGTGTAATAGTAAATTATCACCACATACCTTTTTACTGCTCACAAGTCCGTAACTTTGATGTAAAAATGTTGAAACAACCCACCCTGCTCATTAGGTGATGTAACGTAATAAATGATCACAAACAAACAGCAGGCGTATTTTTACTCCTCATAAGTCCGTAACTTTGATGTAAAAATGTTGAAACAACTCACCCTGCTCATTAGGTGATGTAACGTAATGAATGATCACAAACAAACAGTAGGAGTATTTTTACTCCTCACAAGTCCATAACTTTGATCTGCAGTGTTGAAAAACAACAACATCCAGTTCAGTTAAGTGACACAAATTTGTCACTGATCGCAAACAAACACCGTTTGGTTTTTGTTCTTGTTTTTTACCGTTCACAAATCCGTAACTCTGATCTAAAATGTTGACTTCTAGTACATGTTGATACTGTTACACTACCGCTTGTTGCGGGGACTTTTATCAAAACTTTCAACCGATGTGCATTATTTTCAGCCGTGTTAGAATGAACGCTGGCAACCAACTGGCTGTGAAATGAATATCTGTTTTATAAACAAGACAATTGATTAGAAGCAATATTAGATGTTTGTGGGATATAATGTACGTAATAGCTTAAGTTTGAGTTACATGATTAACAAAATTCAACGTTATGTTCCTTCTGCTGTTGTTTCGGTTTTAGTGTAACTGCTATTATTTTACAAAACCCGTTCCTTTATGTGGCAGAGATTAAGATAGCCCTAGAAAGTACCATTTAAATCAAGATTTAAAAAGTAAATAAAACGATAGACTCTATGAAAACATATAGAAGTCTAAAAGTACTACAAAAATGCAACTTTGTTTGAGGTACTACTTTCTAAAGCAATATGTACAATGATAAGGTGGCAGAGTATTTAGTCTGTTTGATTCTTTTATTGAAGTTAAGCACAAAGTTACACAATGAGCTATATGTGCTCTGCCCACCACGAGGATCGAAACCTGGTTTCTAGCGTTGTAAGTTCATAGTCATGCCGCTGTGCCACTGGGGGGCGAGTATTCAGTACTGCAACTTCATCAGGCTCAGAACCTAGGCTGTGGGTGCCTTTCAGTCCAGTAAAAATTGTTTATATTTAGATGTATTTTCCAATAAACCCAACAATTATCTTAAATTGAAGATTTATCTTAGATGAAGATCAATTTTTTTAAACTGATGTTACGTTACGAAAGTAATAAAAAATATGATGATGACCTATTTTGATTTCTAAACAACTTAAGAATAGAAATTCAGTAGCATTTCAAAGAGTATTATATCAACACCATGTCTTTTTAAAAAACCATGAAATTAATGAGAGTGTAAATACAATGAAGTAATCGTTTATATTTTTACCGACTTGCTTTTGGTTATTAAGTTTCTTAAACTCTTTAGCCACATTATATATTTACAACTGAAATATCAAACAAGTCATCCTTTAACAGTTGTAATCAGTTTATGATTCTGAACTCTTTACAGTGGTTAACTACAGTTAAAATGAAGTTACATAATTATAAAAACAAATATGGTATAAAACGTGGATTATGTACAATAATACAAGATGCAGAAAGTTTGTATATTAACGATCCTTTTTCCATATATTTAATAAGTTATTGTGAGTTTAGTTCTTCAAAATAATTCCCGTGTATGAAGATAACACTACAAAGATGATATCTCTTTTACTTTCTTTTCAAGCTGGAAAACTTCCATCAAGAAAAACAGGTCGAAACAATAAGATTGTGTCACATATGTGACTATAGACAAACACGTATGTACGCTGTTTCACACATGTGATAATTATATAGGGCTAGATAAAAAATTTAAATAAACCATTTAAAAATGTGTCCATTCTTCCCAGATGAGTTATATTCTCATTGTTATTCCAATGACCTTTTAAACAGGTGCTCTGTATTGATTAAACATATAAGCTCCATTCCACGTTACTTATTAAACGACATGGGAAAGAAATGTGACTTAACTGACTTCTCAAGTGGACAGATTGTAGGAATGCAATTAACAGGTGCTTTAGAAATCCAAACTGCTCAACTCCTTGGCTTTGCAAGAGAAACGATATGAAAGGTTATTACAGTTATCTCATAACTCTTCTCAACTAAACATAACCGTGGTAAGAAGATCATCATCGGTGAACTAGACCGTCATGCTGGTGAAAGATCATCATCACGGAACGAAACCGTTGTGTTTTATGTTAAAATGTGTCTTCGAAAATAAGGCCTGATTCTTCAACATAACTTTCAAGCACATGAAGATGTCCTATTATAAAGAATCGAAGCAGTTTTAATAGCCAAAGCTGAAACCAGACGTTATTTAGCCGCTTCCACTGTTGTTTCAATCTTTTTATCCAACCTCTATATACATATACACCCACACATTGTTTCAATGAACATGTGACAATTATATATACATACACTCACATTTATACTATTGTATTTTTAATGATTCTATATATCATGTATACCTCTCTTTCAGATCAACATCCCAAGGTTTGAGCCAAATGCTTGTTATTCTGCAAGATAAGGAAGATTCAATCAAGGCAGGGCCACGAAGAGAAGTCATTTGCAAACTAGTCATATGGACTGAAAATCTATTCAAATTACGCCAGACTTTATTAGGTTAGTATTCTTTATAACAGTAACATTTGTATCTGGTGTTTTTTGCACTACGATAACACAGTAATGAAACAACTTTAATGCTCGAAAACTTGTACTGCAGTGTCTTCCACTAAATTTTACTCAACAAAATTTTACCATAGTGATTATGAATCTTATTTGTTTACTTTTGTATCCTACTGAAGCATATTCTGAATTTGTAGTGAAAACTTTCAAATTGCGCCAAAACAAACCTTAAATGTTCTAATATATTTGATCCCGTTACGCATAAAATTTACTTAGTACATTTACTGCATGAAAAATATAAATATCTATTTTCAGCTACTGAACATTATGACACTCACGATATTTACTAGACACTGATTTCTAGATATTATTACAACGTTAAACTAGAATTATTAATTAGAATATTGGTTTTAGTCAGAGTCTTTACATTCTGCCACCTACTGGAAGACGGAATAACTGAGGAAGTTCTATTGGTACAAATCAAAAGTTTTTCGGTACGATATTTTTTTTTACCTTAAGTTAATTATTCTTATGTTTGTTTTTTTCTTTTGCTTCCAGAATGATAGAAACTGTACGAACTGAAATAATGATGCACAAAAAATACCAGCAAACAAACATGGAGAATTTGAACTGTTATAGGTCAAGGCCATAAGACTACTTTTAAAACTGCCGAACTTTAGATTAAACACTTTGTATCGGCATCACCGAAGAAATCATGTTTGAAAAAAAGAGATCTGCTTGTCATAATAATTTAAGATTAATAAATATCTTGTGATTTCTTGAAAAGCTGTGTTTTTCAAATTCTTTGAAAATGTACTGAATATGGTACAACAAATTTTTGTTAATATTACATCTAAAAGCTGAAACTTTTAAAAATGTGTCAAATATAATCTGTCATTGTCATGATTAGTAACCTATATGGTAAATTAAGTCTAATTATTATCTGCCAATCATATGTATCTATATACTAACTACTTTTTATCCTACTTTTCGGCTACTAATCTCTCAGGAAAGTCCTGAGACGAACTATTTTCTGTGCTGGTAGTGACCGGGATTTGATGCCATTCTGACATGTTATCCACTCGATATCTGAGCCAAATTCTGGGCATAGAGCGGCTGGTTTGAGAGTGTTAAACATCGAAATGATACATGTAGAGACAACTGAGTATTGGTGATACAAAGATGAGTCCATAGATAGGCCTAATTGTTGTTGGTGGTATTATTCTTCTAGTTTGTGTTGACACAGAAGGTTGTGAGTTCAATTATTGTGAATATTGTCAGTTGGGTGCGTTTTTTAATAGTTCTTTCATTTTCAAGCTGTTGGCAGCGTATTTGTAATATATGTCAGGGGTTGGTACGTTAGTGAAGAAGTTGGATACGTTTGTAATATGGCCAAACACTACAAACAAAATTCAAAACTTCCTGAATCACCTGAACAGAAAACATCCTGCAGTACAATTCACATTGGGAATAGAAAAAGATAAGCCCTATTCCTTGTCGTGATGGTTTCTAAGACGTATAATGCATATACTACAGGGGTTTATAGGAAACCCACACATATACGGTTAAGTACCTTGACTATAAATCAAATCAAATAAAGACTAGTATCATAGATTGTCTACTTAAGGTGCTTTGTTTGAGTGGAAAGCTCCTGAAGAAGTAGTAAAGCCAAACGTTGAATACAAAAATATATATACACATTTGGAGTTATAAAATAGTTTTGGTGAAGCTTAATACGTATTTATTAAGTTTAAAAATAATGTTTCGTTTATGTTCTAGTATTTGGTTTATTACTATTATTAAACATTTTACGTGGCTTTTTTTAATATTGTTTTTCGACTACAAAACTTTATTTCAGAAAGTAAGCCTATGTGGAACTAGCATAGAAAGATAAGTTTGAGCAATTTTTGATTTAAATTAAGTTTTAAATGCAGTGGCTCCCGATCTGGTAACCGACAGTCTAATTCCAGTCTAAATTACTGGACACCGGCAAAGTCCTGAAATGCTCCACTTGGAAAATGCACAGTCAAAAACTGCAGCCAGCGTTTGTAGCCGCATGGATTTATATATGTCTGTCTTCTGTATATTTTTAAACAGTTTCTACATCACTCTACATTTATATCAAATAATTGTGTGCTACTATTATATCATGTTAAAGGAAGATATTTTGAAAATGACCACAACAACAACAACTTCAAAAAAATGTAAAACGGCACTTCCGGTGTTTGTAACCCATCTCAGTAGATGGACATATGAAGCAAACTATATATTTGTATATAAATGTAGAACCCCCTCCCCCTTCAGAGGCTTAGCAGTAAACTTGAGGGCTTACACATTAAAAATCGGGTTTCGATACCCGCGGTGGGCATAGCGAAAATAGCCTAACGTGTAACTTTGCGCTTAAACACAAATAAACAAAACGTATTTAAATGTTTATCCTGCCACACATGCGCAGTGCGCTGTAACAATGTTCCTCTGTTTTTTTGCTAATTATTGCTCAGGCCTCAGGTACAAAGCTGGCCATTTATGAAGTCACCAAGTTCCTGACCTCGGTTAAAATTCCAGTTTGAATCTTTAGTTATTTAAGAATAAATCTGGGAAACTATTCGAACCCGCACCATGCGCATATACACGGTACTGCATCGAATTAGGATTTTAGTTGAAGTGCGGAAAGCGATCAATGTGGTCCAGTAAAGAAAATTACATCAACGTTAACATTGACACACAACAAGGGAAATAAAAGACTCATAAATTCATGTAAGAATTAATATTTTAAAGCATTCATTTAAATCACAAGTAATATTAATATGTAAAATATTAATTACAAATCACTAATAATATTAATATTTAAAGTATTCATAATAAATCACTGAGAGTATTAACTAATATTTCAAAATATACATTATAAAGTATTAATACTATGTATGTTTTAGATTCTCCCAAAACTTGTTTATGGAGAGCTGAGGTGCCGAACCTAAGTTTGAAGAAAACAAAAATCAAATTGTTATTTCGGAAAATTCTACCTTTTTACGTAACCAGTTGTCGAATTATAACCAAAAACATGGGCGGATTTTAAATCAAAAATATCAATAAAAAAACTACTGGTACATTGAGATAAAGAGAAAAAAATTCATTGTGTAAATCAATCTCCTCTCTAGCCCTCCCCTGTGCTAGCGAGGTTTAAGACAAACAAGTCTACACCCATGTAGTAAACTAATTGAAGGAAAATATGTTTATATGACTTATCGTTCCTTTTATTGATTTAGCATTCTTCTTGATCATGTACTTAATAATTTCGATTTTTGTCCACATTTGTTATTTACCAAGTAACTATATAAAACAGCAAAAAAAGTGGATCATCATTTCTCCCTTATTGATTTGAAATGACCGGACTTAGAAAGATATTTGAATCTAATTGAGTTTGTTTGCTGCGTGACTCTCTTTTATCAATACAGTGACTTTCAATACCACACAGGTAAACATTTTATGTAATTTGACTTAATAATTGTAGAATTTGGTGGGGACTCAAGTATAAAAAAAAACTTTAATTACTTCATTATGTCAAAAATGCCTATACATTCATCAATATTTTATTGTATTCAGTTATTCAAATTTAATGCGTTCACACGGACACGAGAAACGTTAATTGATCAGACTATATCTATCAAGAACAATTACCGACTTCTAATTCACTATACTTGTTTGTTTGTTTGTTATGGATTTCGCGCAAAGCTACACGAGGGCTATCTGCGCTAGCCGTCCCTAATTTAGCAGTG